GAGACCCTCTCTCTCAAAGAAAAAAAAAAAAAAAAAAGACCATAAGAGAAGAAAGACTGGTTAAGCATTATCTGTATCATTACAGTGGTTCTTTTAGACTTTTTTTTTTCTTTTTTTTTTTTTTTTTCTGGCAGAGGTGAGGGGACAAGGAGTGGCCCCAAAGTTCTTTGGCAATAGAAAAGCTGTAGGAAAACGTCCATGTACAGGTTGAATATCCCTAACCCGAAAATAAAAAATCAGAAATTCTCCAAAACCTGGAACTTTTTGAGCACCTATATAACAATCAAAGGGAATGTTCCTTGGAGCATTTCAGATTTCTGATTTTTTGGATTAGGGATGCTGTATAATGCAAATATTCCAAAGTCTGATAAGATCTGAAATCCAAGCATTTCTGATTCCAAGCCCTTTGGATAAGGGACATTCAATCAGTATATAATTTTCTGGGTGTTCAGATATCTCTGGTAGTCCATCCAGGTAAAGTCTCCCAGCAGGAGACTAAGCAACCTTTCAAATCCTTTTGGTGCTGAAATTGGTTACTCAGTCTTCAGGACTGAACTTTTTTGAGGCTATGGTCAGGGACAGTGGCTGAGGAAGTTGAGGGCTCTGCTTTTGGGGCACTGACACGGGTGTGTGTGTCTCTCTCCCCGACAGTCTGGACTATCTGTGTCTCCTCATGGGTGACCTCTTTTTCTGAGTCTGACCAGGAGTTGATGCAGCCACCCCTGCTCCCTTTTCCAGCTTGCCCTTTGAAGACCAGAGCTCAGGGGCTAGCTTCTCCCACTCTTCTCTTTTAAGGACTTTTCATTAAAAGAGCATTACATTGAAAGACTGTGTTAAAGGACTATACTATAAAGGGCTGGAATGGGCAGACCCAGGGTTCTGGTAACTTACATCTTAGGGGTCCTCAACAAACTGGAAACTTAGATTTTTTCCTTGCAGACTGTTTCCTGATTTACAGTTTCACAGTTCTTAAGATGGTATTTGGGTTTGTCATACCATTCTGTCTACTTTTGTATAGTTGGATTTTTTCATAATAAGAAGTTAAAAGATATGGTATTTGAGCTTTTGTTCTCCACTCTCTACAGAGCGGGTTCTCAGCCTTCTTTCCCACACCGTTTTAAGAGGGCTGGCAGCCCCTGTCTCCCACTGGAGAACTGAATCTTGTCTCAAGTGGCACTTCTGTCTCTTAACTGTCTCCAGTCTGGCGACACCTAGTTTACCTGGGAAGTCTGTCTGGGTGTTAACTCACAAAAAGGAAGAGATCACCCTCATCTGGGTTTTTGTTTATTTTATGCTTCTCATTAACACAAAACATTTGATTCAGCTGCTTTGGCAATTGAGAGCAGAAACCAAAGTGCTGTTTTTAAGATGTAACAAATAGCGGTAGTTTATTTTTATATTTGGGCTAGTGATAGGGAAGTGGCTGAAGGTAAGGCCAGGAGCGTGAAGTAATGGAAAAGGTACAGTGGCACTGATGATATTTGCGAGAGAGGGTTTCCTGTGAACAAAGAAAGCCATTGGCTACCGGGGTGAGAGGGACGGAGACTCTCCTGGAGTAATATTGCCATCTTGTGGCTCTTTGAGGCATTGCTATGTGGCTCAAGCAAAGCCCTTCCCAGTTCCTAATCATCCCAGAGGTCGCCCATTGTCTCAAAACGCCAAGTTATGTAATCTCTTTGTGGGCCCAGGTATGTTTCCCTGGATTTTTCCAAGCATGTTTCTGCCTGCCTTTTCCTCTCCTCTCTTCCCTTAGAAATTCAGTTTTCACTCCTCGCCCCGGGTGTTTTAGAGGTTGTCCAATGTGATAAAGCAAATGCTGTTGGCCCTCGGTATTCGAGGGAATTGGTTCCAGGACCCCTCAACCCGCATACCAAAATTCCAGAGGCTCCACTCTTATATATAAAGTAGCATCGTATTTACATATTACCTCTGCACGTCCTGTTGTGTGCTTTAAATCATCTCTGGATTACTTATAATACCTAATACAATGTATATGCTGTGTAAATAGTTGTTAAACTGCATTGCTTTTTATTTGTATTATTAGTTATTGTTGTGTTATGATTTTTTACTGTTTCTTTTTCCCTGAATATTTTCGATCCATGTTGAATAGGTGGATGTGGAACCTGAGGTTACAAAGGGGCTGTATTTAAAACCAATTTAAGGTAGTTGTGATTTAGAGAAAGTTTTGTTTTTTTGTTTGTTTATTAGGTATGGGGTCTTGCTATGTTGCCCAGGCTGTAATGTAGAGTCTATTTACAGGCACCATAATGGCACACTACAGCATTGACCTCCTGGCCTCAAGCAATCCTCCTGCCTCAGCCTCCTTAGTAACTGGGACAAAAGGCACTAGCCACCGCCAGTCTGGAGGAAGTTTTTAATCCACTGGAGTGAAATTTAACTTTTGGGATTAATAGCTCAATTTACACAAGTCAAATGTAATTGTAACTCACATCTTTTTAAAGATGAATCTAGTTTAAATCAACACTTAGCAAGTGTCTGTTTGGTATTAACTATTATGTTGCCTGCAGAGGGTTATAGGGATGGATGGAGTAGCTCAGATGTGGGGAGGGGAGACGAAGGCCCCGGACTCTGCCGAATCCCCATAGTAGAGAGGAATCAACAGTGTCGGGGAGGCAGGAAGGAGACAGTGGTTGAGTTTTCACCAGGGAGGAGCTGGGACTTGAGAATTGTAAGCTTTAACTGATAAACCACGAGCCACATATGATATGGAATTTCAGTCTATTGAAATAATTGGTAGACTCCTTAGGAATTTTCTTACAAGCAAACCTTATTTGACAGCCCATCGCATAAGTTATCTTTCACGTAAGTGGTCTCATTTACTCTTCTCAGCTACTTTGTGAGGCTGGCATTACCATTATTCCTGTTTTGGATATGATACAGCTGAGGCTTGGAAATGTAGTTTGACCACTGCTATTGCAAGGATGGGAACCCAGGACTTTTGACTCTCAGGTTTAATTCTCTTTCCACAAAGGATTTAATGCAAATGAGTTAAAGGTTTTCATGTAGGTGGGCATCAAATTGGAATTATCAGTTTCAAAAGTGTCCTATTAGTACAAATAATGGGATAAAATACAGTTGGCCTTTCATATGCACGGGTTGTATATCTGTGAATTCAACCAGCCTTAGATTAAAAACACTTAAAAAATTCAGTACTGAATATGTAGAAAGTATTTTTTTTTTAGTTTTTAATTGTGCCTTTATTCCACTTAGTTCATTAAAAATGTACTTGTTTTAAAGATCCTACAAACTAACATGGGCTATAGGTCACCCCTCAGCATGTTATTTATTTTTTTAAAAAGCAGTATTTCTTAGAGGAATCTTACTGATCACACTATATGTCAGATATGATGTTACAATAATGTCAGATATGATATATACAGTCTAAACGAGACAGGCCGGTTAAGAATTTACATGATGGAAATATATACATATTAAAAGCTAGCCAAGTGGACAGACGCATGCAGCGGGGAGAGCAGGTGATAGGAACTCCTTTAACGATCAGTACAGGGCTCAGATGCAAGGAATCTGGACTTCCCCTGTTACAGTAAATAGCTTTCACTAACGTATACAGGTATTCCATACACATCTGAACACACGAGGGTAAGTTGTGACCTGCTACACGTACAGTCTAAAGTGGTGTAACTGATCTTCCTTTGATACTCCCAAGAAAACTGTAAATAGTGAACCCCATGCAGGTAGTGGGAAGCACTGGTCTTTTATCATAGGTTGAACCTGAAGAGGTTTAATTCCTGACATTAGTATTTGTAAAGAGTGCATGGCTCCTTTTTCTGTTTTCTCCACAGCTGACATGCATTCAGTGCAGGGGAATTCTGATGGCTGTTTGACCTAATAGTGATAACTGAACTACTGTTAAAAATGTGGGAACGTTTTCAATACTATTGAGTTACACATTTAACATTAAAAAAACAAAAACAAAAACATGGATCATCCATAGCTTTAAGTCAAAAGGTAGAAGGGAGTGTGTCTGAAGTTTAATGCTTTTAGTTATACTATTCTGTGGGTTCTACCACTGTCCTAAAGAACGACACTGCTACACTGCTTCTTTCCACACCAACACAGGCACTAGTTTGAACTCAGACAAAACCTGAAACAGAAGAAGTGCCACTCTTCCTCCGGGGTCTTTTAAGAAACTGGACCAAAATTATAAATTATTCAAGTTTCCTTTTGAGTGGTGTCTTTATGTGTGTAACTATCTAGAGAACAAACCAAATAAGAAATGTCTACCCCTGCAAGAGTGTGGACTTTGGGTATAGTTCTGTTAGGAGTCAGGAGCCTCGAGCAGCGTTTACAGTCAGGGCTGTTTTCTTACACACGCCCCATTTACCCTGCGTTTGTGCCAACTATTACAGCAAATGCGTTTTGCAGGGATTATGCTTCACAACTCAGGCCTACAGATCCTTTTCGGGAGATCTCTCCAGCTAAGTAGAAAACTACCCGAAAAGGCGGCGGGTTCTGTGAACCTGAAGAGAAGACTCAGGGTCTCTCTGAAAGCCTTTAAATTACTGCTGGAATTGCAAGTTCCTATTAGTGAGAAAACAGCATTAAAATAACTTGAAGGTCTGTTTCATTGGCAACTTAGAACACAAAGTATTTTATTTTTAAACTTTTAAAATTTGAAAACAAGCTGGCTACATTAAATAATACAGTTTCCAAAACTGAGTTCACTTGGAGCTCAGTTTTTCTGCTTGAAATACAAACACAACTTCTAACACTCGTAGGTGGGAACAGTACTGTTTGATGATCTGTGATTAGATGAACTGATCGATCTCAGTTGGCAACATCCCTTTTTTTTTTTTTGCCTTGGTAAAGGTTTTTTTTTTTTTTTTTTTTTTGAGACGGAGTCTGGCTCTGTCGCCCAGGCTGGAGTGCAGTGGCCGGATCTCAGCTCACTGCAAGCTCCGCCTCCCGGGTTTACGCCATTCTCCTGCCTCAGCCTCCGGAGTAGCTGGGACTACAGGGGTAAAGGTTTTAAAAAATTCTAGAATAGATGCATTTTTCTAGTTTTACACTGACAATTTCATCCCAAACGTCTCCTGGGAGACATAGACCATGTACAGGAATCCATCTTCATCCTCACTCTCGTACACCTCTGAGACCATGAAGACGCTCACCATGCTGTGTCCGCTCACCACCAGGAGGAAGGTTTGATTAGCATTGAGCTGTAAGCACTTTCTAATTATCTTGATGAGCTCACTCTCGTTGACGTCTTGAACATCAGGTACAAGGAACTTCGTTTTATCCAGGACAGGAAGCTGCTTCTCACCCTTGTATCGTTCTGTTATCACCGGGATTTTGGCTGGATGCTGCTCTCGAATAAGTCGGACATCTACCCTTTGTTCGAAGGTGCGGCCCTGCCTGAAGGTCTCCCCCGGCAGGTGCGGGGATCTGGGCCGCGGCGGCGACAGCGCGAGGGTCCCGGCGGCTTCTGGGGACGGCGGCGGCGGAAAGTATTTTTTCTTGTCATTCTGTAAGCAATACAATATAACAACTGTGTATGTAGACTTTACATTGTAATAGTTATTACAACTAATGTAGAGATGCTTTAAAGTATAGGGAAGGGCTGGGAGCGGTGGCTGGCTCCTGTAATCCCAGCATTTTGGAAGGCTGAGGTGGGCGAACCACTTGAGGTCAAGAGTTGGAGACCAGCCTGGCCAACATGGTGAAACCCCGTCTCTACTAAAAATACAAAACTTAGCCTGGCGTGGTGGCGCACGCCTGTAGTTCCAGCTACTCAGGAGGCTGAGGCAGGATAATTGCTTGAACCCAGAAGGTGGAGGTTGCAGTGAACGGAGATCGTGCCACTGCACTCCAGCCTGGGTGACAGAGCAAGGCTCTGTCTCAGAAAGAAAAAAAAAAAAAAAAAAAAGGGTGGGGGGAGAATGTGCATAGGTTATATACAAGTACTGCATGATTTTATATCCTGGACTTGAGCATCCTCAGATTTTTGTAAACGGCAGCTAGTAATCCAAACAATCTACTGCTTAACAGTCCCGTGGCCACAGTGAGGAGCCACAGGCTATCTCTCTTTACTCAGTGACAGGTCTGCAAGTCTCATTATTTCCTGGCCATCTCTATTGGATGCCCATAGACACCTCACATTTGCTTGTACTTATACCTCTCTTAAATCTGGGCCTTGTCCACTTTCTCAGTGAGTGGTGTCACTTTCCATTCAGTTGGCAGAGGCAGTCCCCACCTCCCTCAGTTGTCTATATCCGATCTATTTTGAGATAGGGTCTTGCTCTGTCACTCAGGCTGGGTGCAGTGGTGCAATCATAGTTCAAGGCAGCCTCCATCTCCCGGGCTCAAGGGATCCCTCCTGCCTCAGCCTCCTGAGTCACTGAGACCACAGTCATGTGTCACCATGCCTTGCTAATTTTTAAATTTTGTCTCTTTATGTTGCCCAGGCTGGTCTCAAACTCCTTGGCTCAAGTGATCCTCCCAAAGTGCCGGAATTATAGGTATGAGCCGCTGTGCCCAACCCATATCCAATCTAATAGTATATAAATCCTCTTAATTCCACTTCTCCAATGTCTCAAATCCATCCATTTCTCCTTATCCTGGAGAAGGTGCCAGCATCTATTGCCCATCTGTCCTCCTTCTGGAGCCAGAGCTGTCTTTCTAGAGTGAAATCTGACAGTGTCCTTCCTGTTCAGGTCCCACCAGTTCCTCCCCATTGCTCCTAGAACAAAGCAAACCTTATTGGAGACCCTGAGTGTGATCTGAAGTCTCCTCCACGATCTGGTCCCTGCCTTCCTTGCCAGTCTTTCTGGTTTTGAGCATCTCCCCCTCATTCCCTTCACTCGAGTCTCTCAGAGCTTTGTGTGTTCTTCCTGATCTTTCACATGGCCTTTGGGCCTGTCTCCATTGCTGTGTAACAGATCAGCTCAAAACTTAGTGGCCTGAAACATCAGAAATTTATTCTGTCACTGTTCAGGAGGCCAGAAGTCCACAATCAAGGTGTGGGCAGGGTTGGCTCCTTTTGGAGACTCTGAGCAAGAATCTGCTCTGTGTCTCTCCCTCCATTGTCACGGGGCTTCTTCCTTGTGTCCCTGTGACCTTGTGTCTAAGTTTCTCCTTTCTCTTATAAAGACATCAGTCATTGAATTTAGGGTCCACCCTAATCCAGTATGACCTTAACTAATGACATCTGCAAAGACCCCATTCCCAAATAAGGTCACATTCTGAGATTCTGGGTGAGGGTGAATTTTGGGGAAACATTATTTGAACCACTACACTGTCATGTGCCAAGCATGTGGAATCCCCTCCCCACTTTTAGCTAAAACCGCCAGAATGGATTTAGTGTTGTGGAACCTCCCCCGCCGTGTGTGCATGCACCTTGCATGCACACATACGTGCCCACTGACACGTGCTGGCACACACGTACCCAGGGTTTCCTCTTTCTCTCCCATGGTCCCTGGTGAAATTTCCTGTAATACCTTTTCATGCTCTCCCTCCGAGGCAGGGAGGGGTACCCCTATCTACAACCAGCTGTGGAAAATGCCCCGAGAAGCAGTGAAGGGAGGCAGCGCTAAGGAGGAGAGTGATGTGGGCTGAACTAGGAAGGAGGGGGTTTTAGGAAGCTGGCCTGGGGGTTCACTTGGAAGAAAACCTGTTCTCTTCCCAAATCTTAGGATGTCTGGAGGGATAAGGCCATCCAGTCTGGCATCTCCCTGCCTGCACCGCATGGCCTCCTCATCTTTGTATTCCCAGAGACAAACCCAGGGCCTGGGAGACTGAATCCAAACATCAGTTTATCAACCAATCAATCTGTAAAGCAGCGATCTCCAAACTTTTTGGCACCAGGGACCAGTTTCATGGAAGACACTTTTTTCCACAGACTGGAAAGGGCTGGAGGTGTGGGGTGGAGAATGGTTTCAGATGGTTCAAGCTCATTACATTTATTGTGCACTTTATTTCTATTATTATTACATTGTAATGTATAATGAAATAATTATTGTAATGTAAGAATAATAACTATTATTACATTGTAATATATAATGAAATAATTACAACTCACGGTAATGTAGAATCAGTGGGAGCCCTGAGCTTGTTTTCCTGCAACTAGGTGGTCACATCTGGGGATGATAGGAGACAGAGACAGATCATCAGGCATTAGATTCTCATAAGGAACACGCAGCTTAGATCCCTCCCATAAGCAGTTTACAACAGAGTTCACGCTCCTGTGAGAATTGAATGCCACTGCTGATCTGACGGGAGGCGGAGCTCAGGCGGTCATGCTCGTCCTCGCCCCACGGCTCACCTCCGTCTGTGCAGCCCGGTTCCTAACAGGCCACAAACGGGTACTGGTCTGCGGCCTGGGATGTGGCACCTTGCCTTAGAGCAAAAGAGGTTTGGGGTGTGGTTAGAATACCTTGCCTGGGTGAGGAAGGCTTCCTGGATTGGAATGGGGCGTCCAAACTAAGACCTGAGGAGCCGGGAGAACTAGGCCAGGGGAAAGGTCACCAGGGTGCCAGACCGCTGGGCAGATGATGGCTCTTCTGTCCACGGCACCTGGTTGGATGTCGGTAGTACTGAGGAGTGTGTGTGTGTGTGTGTGTGTGTGTGTGTGCGCGCGCGCGCGCGCGCGCGCAAGTGAGCGTGTGAGTGTGTGTGTATTTTTGTGCAGAGCAAGCGTGAAGGAGGCCAGCAGGAGCCATGCCCATGAGTTGAAAATATCAGAAAGGGGAGCTATGACCTGCAAGATACATTGTGATTGTGGTGTCTTGGCCATTGTGCGCTGGGACCACAGGAACGTCAGGGATGCACTTCTGCTTGGTCCTAAGGCTGGCAGTTGGGACATGCGGGCGTGTGGAGCGGAGCCCGGTGGGTGCAGTGTCTGGAGCAGGCTGGGAGCAGCTCAGCCTGGGTGTCGGAGGAGCGGGCGGGCGCTGCTCGGGGCGCCCACCAGGGGGCAGTGCTGCCGGGCGAGAGCGTTGCGGGCTGAGGCGCGCGGGGCTGCGGGGCTCGGGGCTGTGGGACTAGGAGGCGCGTCGCTGTGGGACTCGGGGCCGGCGGGCGCGGGGCACAGGGCTGCGGCGTGGGCAGCCAGGGCGGCTTTTACCTCCCACGCAGGCAGGAGAGAGTTCTCGCGTGCCTGCCTGTACTCGCCGCCGGGGATGTTTCCGGGCGAGCGGACCGTGCTGACTCCGGGCTGCAGAAATGCGCCCCCAGAAGAAAGCTCTGCGCTTTGCGGGGGCTCCTTAAAGCCAAGGTTCCAGAGAATGGATTTACCCCAAAGCTGAAAACGCTAACGCTTCTGCCACCCCAAGGCCATGTTCATGCATATATCTATATGAGATTCCCTGAAAGTATGTATGTTTCAGACCCACAAAACCAGGCTCTGCCTCTTGGTGACTCCACTCCAGGTTTCAGTTTGGTTGCCCCCTTGACAGTCTAGATCCCTAACCCCCAGATCCACCAGAGCTGCTAAGAAACTGGGGCAAGCATCCACAGAGACAAGTGTCTTGGGTTATGTGTGGGTATATGGGTGTGGATGAGACAGCGAGTGAAGGAGCTCAGCAGTATAATGCCAGTAGCACCTACACTTCCAGTTGTGACAACCCAAAGTGTCACAAACATTGTCAAATGTCAGATGTCCGGCCAGGAGAGCCAGGAGTTTTCCTTGCTTGCAAGCCGGGAGCTGTCCTTGGTTGAGAACCACTGATTTAGAGATTGTAGCTTTCGTTTTCCATTGCTGCGTATGGGTTAAGCCTCAGTCTCTTCCAGAGGGCTTGGATTGTGACTTGTACATCGTCTTCCTGGAGACTTGCACCCACCAAATTGAAAGGGTCACAGGCCAACTCCAGGAGTGGAGAACCTGGGTTCAATCAAGGAAAGGGCCAGGGGCCTCCTTTCCTCCCGTGGCCTTGGCTTCTGCCTGCGAGCTAGGGAGAAAGTAGCTGCTGGCCTGGCCGGGAGTGCTGTGCTCTGCTTCCAGTTTCTCTCTTCCAACAGTTAGAAAATGAAAGTTGGAAGAGATCCGAGAGGATACCTAGTTCAACACCTGCCCCTTCCCTTAAAAAAGTGTTTACGATGAGAACACTGACATTCAGAGCCCTGAAGCATGTCTTCCAGGGCTACGCAGCTTTTATGAGGTAGAAGTAAGACCAGGCCCAGGTCTCCTGACTTCCAGCCTAGGGCTTTTTCTGCTCCATGGGCAGCCTCTCTGAGTCCCCCATTAAAATGCAGTCCGCCTGGAGGGCACACGCTATAAACTAGATGAGTGGCTGCTTAATAAATGACCCTGAAACTTAGTGGCTTGAAAGAAAAATAAACAGTCTCTCAGTTTCTCTGGGTCAGGAATTTGGGAGCAGCTTGGCTGGGCAGTTCTGCCTCAGAGTCTCTCATAAGTTTCAGTGAGATGTTGGCCAGGGCTTTTAAGTACAGACTTTGGTCAAGAATCTTCTCTTGGCCAGGCACTATGGTTCACGCTTATAATCCCAGCACTTTGGGAGGCCATGGTAGGAGGATCACTTGA